TGGTAACAGTGACCACAGAAAATATGCAAATAGCCTTATGAAAATGACTGCTTCCTGGAAAGGAATATTGAAAAATGAAAGCAGTAATGTGCATGAGATGGAGTTGATGTGTATGAGATGGAGAAGCTTTTAATGATGAACATTAAAATTAATTGAGAGATAAAGTACAGACAAGAGGAGGGGATAGCAACAAGAGGGTAAAACATGTACTTGTGCCTCTAAGTACCATGGCCTGGGTGGCTTTCAAATTTCGGGCTGAGGGTCATGAAGGGCAGTGAGAAGGTGAAGAAATGAAGACAAGAAACTGAGAGCTAGAATCAAGTGAACCCCTCTCTCCAGATAGCAGGAAAGGAACTGCTCAACCACCACAGCATATTTATTGATACCTTTGGAAGGTTTAGGTCACATAATGTCCATCTGCCTAGCAACCTGCCTGCCTGGTAGCCTTAGGGGGTTGGTCCTCTCTGGACTAGAGCAGTGTGTTCACGTGGACCACCTCAGATGCTCTTTGTTCTTGAGATGAGCCTTATTCTAGCCCCATACGTGTGATCAATCTCCAGCTTCAGCTCCTCCCCATATCTCTCTGCCTCCCCCCCACCCCCCGTATTTGCAAGTTATAAGTGGGCAGTTGAAGTTGGAGGAGCTGAGTTTGGAGAACACTGTGGAAGACCTTTTTATTTTTGAATGTTCTTTATTTTGAATGAACTCATTTGTTTATGCTAAAGGCTTTTAGTCTAAGGATTTTTTTTTTTATTAGTCTAAGGATTTTAAGTCCCTGGATTTAGCAATTTAATCCCATACAGCTCATTAATCTATAACAGTAGTCAGTTTGGTTAGTTGACCCTGTCACTGTTGGGCCTATGGCAAGACAGCACAGCAAGGCGGCAGCACTTACCAAACCCTTAACCTCAGGGCTGGGAATTGAAAAGCAGAGAAAGAAGAGGTGGAGTCCCACTGTCCCCTCAAGGGCACACTTCCATTGGGCTCCACCTCTTAAAGTTCCACACCTCCCAGAAGCACAGAGCTGGTGAATGAGTCTTTCACACATGAGGCTGAAAGGGATTCCAGACCTAAATGATAGAGCTCACCCCTAAGATGCTCACTGCCACACTTTGAATCTGGAACTTCCCCCCAAAGGCCACTGCACTGCAGGTTTGGTCCCAGCTTGTGGTGCTGGAAGGAGATGGTGGAACATTTAGGAAGTAGGGCTACAGGACAGAAATTCAGATACTGTGAGTGTGGGACCCTGGCCTTTCTACTTTTTGTTCCTGACTGCTTTGAAGAGAGCAGCCAGCTTTTTCTGCCACACACTCCTGCCACGGTTCCCAAAAGCAACAGGATCAAGCAATCATGGTCTGAAACTGTGAGCCTAAATTAAAGTTTTCTTATAGTTTTATTATCTCATGAATTTTGTCACAGTCACTAGATTTGTGATAATTAGTAACACAGTGCATTAGCTAGCTTTCCGTTGCCATACATATACCCAAGATCTGTAGTCACAGGAATGATAGATAGCTCATCATATTTACAGTCTCTCAAACCATGAAAGGGAAGAACTACAGAAAGATATGGGTCGCTGACAGGTTGCTTAGAATGAACTCAACCTAATCAAGAACAAGGAAAATAGTATGTATTTGGAGCTCACCAGGATTACAAACCAGGAATACACCAGGTAACAAAAGGGTAACAAAATAATTAATAGAAATTTTCATTAGAGAAATGGCATGCTGCCGTAACATAGATAGGAGGCTCTTCCTATCCATAGATGTGTTCATAGACCCCCAAGGAATGCCTAAAACCACAGACAGTACCGAATGTCACAGGTACTCTTTTAGTCTACACAGGCACATCTACAGTAAAGTTTAATGCATAAATTAGGCATGGAAGAGATTAGCAACAACAGTAATAAAATAGATCATACTACATGTAATAAACGTTTGTGAATGTTTTCTCTCCCAAAATATCTTATACTTTCACCTTTTATTTAAAAGAAGCATCTTACAATTTCCCTTTGGCTTAGCCCAATTACGATCACCACTATGCACGCATCTATGAGCCCTCATTAAGTTAACAAAAGGCTTCTTATTGTCAGTCTGACAACTGGTTGTCAGCTACTATACGCTTAACAGGCAGACAGTGTGTGCAGCACAAGGACACTGGATACAGAAACAATTCATGTTCCAGATGGAGTGGACCAGGATAGCATGAGATTTCATCATGCAATTCAGAATGTTGAATGATTTAACATTTATAATTATTTCTGGAATTTCCTATGTAATATTTTGGGATAAAATTACCATAGTAACTGAAACTGTGGAAAACAAAACCAAAGTTGGATGCTGAGGCCAAAAATGTGAGTGATTTTGAAACTGGGATCTCAGCAGAAGTTGTAAGAATTTTGAAGAACACTATTAAAAAAAATGTAAGCACTTAAAGAAAATCTAAATCTTCTTGGACAGATTGTTGACGAAAATCTTGACTTCAAGGGTGTTATCAGTGGAGGCTCATGAAGAAGCAAATGAAGAATGTGTTCTTGGGGAAGGAGGAGAGGAGTTCTGACAGATGGCACAGTAGGAACTATGTACTGTAGCTGGGTAGCTGGCAAGCTGTCAGTGATATATCTACACGAATGGCTAGTATTTATTACAAGTTTTTTCTGGATAGCTGAGAACTGTGGCACTTGACTGTAATCCCAGCATTTAGGAAGTTGAGGCAGAGGAAATCCAATCCTAGGCCTGTCTGGGCTTCCCAGTGAGTTCAAGTCCAGCACAAACTATATAGCAACACCTTATCTTAGAAAACAATAAAACAAAAATTTAAACAAAAGATTCTTATTGTTTCACAGTTCTAGAGGTACAAAATAAAAAATTAAGGTATCAATGGACCATGCTTTGTCTCAAATCTCTAAGGAAGGATCTTCCTGGCCTGCTTCTTAGTTCCTGGTGGTTGTTTTTGGCAATTCTTGGCATTTCTTGGCTTGCCTATGAATGACACAGATCTCTTCTTCAGCTGTCACATTGTTAATGGAGTTTTAGGGGAAAAGCCCCAATTCCTGGGGTTTTGACTGATCAGGCTCGGTCACCTGCCCCACAATTCCAGTCAAGGAGATGAGTAGGAGAAAGCACAAGAGGAGCTGCAATCTGTGTGCTCTCACCGGGAAGGACAAATAAAGGACTACAAGGTCTGACTTCAAGGTTTTATGGAAAAGAGGTTGGGTTTTTTGAAGCTTACAGGGTATGATGCCGTGATCACGTCACATTCTGGTAGATTTCACTTCAGGACCGGCTTGGTCAGGCAAGGGGAAAGTCAGTACTTCTGAGATGATTGCTCTGCTCAGAGCTTCCTTGGTCCCCATCATGGGTTCCCACTCTACTTGTGGATAGCAGTATAATCATGGGATGATCTCTTTACCAGGCCCTGCTTTTCCTGGTGTTCAAGGTGACTGCAGGTTTACAATATTTGGAGCCTTCTACACACCCCTCGAGGGTCTGCAACAGAATATTGTAAAAACTGGGGCTTGAATGCCCCTGAAAATCTTAAAAATACCTTAGTTAATCTTGAGTCCTTGGTCTTGAAGATCAATAAGATAGACTGGGTAAATTCAGGGTTAATAAACCACATATTACCAGTTTTTAGACAGACACTGTTTAAGTACATAGCTGAGCAAGATTGACCCTCAAAGATGTTTTAAGGCCACAAAAAAAGACAATCATAAAATGAAGGCAGAGATGTCAAGCTTTGTCCTACTTTTAATAACTCACTGGGGTTCTGCAGGTCCAGCATTGAGCTCCCTGTTATAGCACTAGCATTCCACCTGTGTCTCTCTGCCTTCATAAGAGCTTGTGGAGACACCAATCATTGCATTCACAGCCAACCCAGAACGAGGGAGACATCATCTTAACTTGATCCACAAAGATTCTATCTCCAAATCAAGTCATATTCACAGGTTCCTGGGGTGAGGGCTTTAGCGTATCTGGGGGGGGGGGGATAATTCAATTGACATCTCAGCCTTCTTCAAATAAGCCTGTGCTTTTCTTTCTTTCTCTTTCTTTCTTTTTCTTTCTTTCTTTCTTTTTTTTTTTTCTTTCTTTCTTTCGATTTTTATTGTGTCACTCTATACTAGGTTTCCTTCTATGTCACCTACACCTCTGCCTTTTGTTTTTGTGGGCTTCTGATCTTATTTGCCTTTATTTAAAACGTACTGACTATACACTGGTGCAAATATCTAGTTACCTAGTTTCATTTTGCCGCTTATAGCACAGTGTGAGAGGAGAGTGATACACGGAGAGGAGAGCTGTCTAGCTGTAAGGTGTGGGAACTGGATGATTTTGAAAATTCTCAGCTACTTCAAATGTCAAAAGGTATAGTTTATGGCGGAGGGCTCAAAATGACCAAGAGATCCAGATAGTCAGGTGAAGGACCCGTCAGACCAGCAAGTTCTTCTCACAGGTCTCTATGGCAACCGAGGGCCTGCAGGACACAGAAGGGCACTATTGCTCTGGTATCTCTTTCATCTTTTTTATTCCAAAAGATCTGTGGTTGTGGCTTTGTTTGATTAAGTGAAATCTCAGGACTGCAAAGATCCCGAGACAGTTAAAGTAAACAGGAATAGTCACAGCAAGTAACCCCCACGCCACATACACACGCACACGCACGCACGCACATGCGCATGGACACCTGCCTTAATTCTCACAAGAAGCAAGTTGAAAAGTTTGCTCAGATAAAAATGTGTGTTACTTCTTTGAAAAAGGAAGGACAGCCAGGGCTCCAAAGTAGAACACATACTTTGTTCCCAGGCCTTGACACCTGGTGGAGCTCTGGGATGTGGTGAGAGCATTTTACATAGTAAAGGACCATGAATCACTGGAGGCTTATGGTGAGGTGCTATGACACACCGCCTCTCCCGCCATCCCAGGGGTTCCTGGGGATGATGGACCCCTCAGAGCTGGGCCATCTGCACAGTGCGGGCTGGGGGGGGCATAGCCCCTGGACACGCCAGGATGACTCGCCGTTGGCAGCGCGCGCTCTGGCTGGGTCACAGATGCCGGTGGCGGGATGGGGAGCACCAGGGGTCAGCAGTCGGGGGTGGGTGGGTGTAGGCCCTGGAGCTCTGCAGTGCTTCTTCTCTGGCTGCACCTCCTGCCACCTGTGGCCAGTAACTCTACACCCTTGTCAGAGAGTAAGTCAGGCGAGGGGAGCCCCAGACAGGAAGCAGCCACCTGCCAGCCTCTCCTGTCCCCTCACTTCTCCGATCCCCGACATCAGTCAAGAGGAGCCCAGAGAGGCCAGTGTGGCTCTGAGGGCCTGGGAAGTGGGCTTCAGTTGGGGTGGGGAGGTAGGGGTTCCTGAAACAGTCCCCTCCCCTCCTGGCGCTTCCCGCTGGTTCTGAAGCCTCCATACAAGGACAGAAGAATCTGTCTGGATCAGCACCACATACTCTTCTCCAAGCTGAGGTGGGAGGGCACACCTACTCAGTCCACCTGGGCCTTCACCTCTGTCTGCCTTCCTTTCTGCACTTTGAGCTGGGGCTCTAGTGAGCTGGGGTCCAGAGGAGCCAGGCCCAAGGCCCACCTCCTTCCCACACCACTGCAGCTGTCTGCTCACCCTGGCCCCTTGCCCTGCGATTTCATCCTGGGCCTGAGAAGGGAGAGGAGCGATTGTAATGTACCCTGAGTCCTGCAGATGCCTCTAGCTTAAGGGCACCAAGGGATGGAGTCCCAAATGCAGGTGCCTCTGGCTGTGATTGTTTCACAGTATGTGGCAGGCCTCAGTTTACAGGGAAGATCTTTGGAGGTAATGCAGCAAAACCTGGAAGGTGGCCGTGGCAGGCCAGTCTGCTCCTGGGTAACCAACACATCTGTGGAGCTACCCTCATCGACAAGAACTGGCTGATCTCTGCAGCCCACTGCTTCCAGAGGTGCGAATTCCCTGCTAGGAAGGGCAGCAGGAGGGAGGTACAGGGTGAGTGAGGGAGGAGCCAGGAGTGCCCAGTATTTGTCTGCCAGGCTTTGGTCTGAGGTGCCTTGAGTGAAGCCCTGAGATGATTTGTTGTGTCAGGTGCCCTGTGTAGCTGCCCCACCTTTGACTCAGTGGTGCCTTCTACCTGGAATGCCATCCTGCTCTTCAATTGACCTCCCTCTCATGTCCACCTGAGCCCCATCTTCAGGCAGGGCCCATCCTTCACTTCTCACGCTGGGATACCTTGCTTGTGCCTAAGGTATGGCAGCCTTTACAGAAGACACTTATGTGAGAATTAGGTCTGGGTCATGCCAACTAGGGAAGTACAGTGACAAGGCCCTGGGGCCATGAGAGGGGCTGGTCAAGCTGGAAATAAGCCACGTCTCTTCTCCAGCAAAGAGGGATACAGTTTGATGTACCCCAAATGTGTCTTTTCAGAATTGGAGCGCTGCTCTTTGAATTCTGAGACATGCTGGATAAGCCATCAAGAACCATCAAAGGACAAATGTCCTAAAGTTATGAGTGCAGTCAAGCCCACCTCAAGAAACGGGTTATGTCAGTATTAGTAAAGGGGCTCATATAACCCCTTAAGATGACAGGATGGAGCATCTGGTTGCCTGCAAAGTAGGGGAGCTGTTAGGGTGAGGGGGGCAGCCCAACACTCAAAGGAACTGCCCTCCAATAGGTCCCACAACCCATCCAGCTACCGAATCCTGCTGGGCTACAACCAGCTAAGCAAGCCCACAAACTACAGCCTGATGATGACCGTGCATAAGCTCATTGTCCACGAAGACTATAACAAATTTCACCGCATGTCAAGAGACATCGTCCTGATGCAACTGCACCAGCCTGTGGAGTACAATTCCCACGTCCTCCCTGCTTGTCTAGCAGATGCAGACTTGCAGCTGGATCCCTTTATTTCCTGCTGGATAACTGGCTGGGGGATGCTTACTGAAAACAGTGAGCACACAGGGCAAGGCAAAGGGTGTGGGGCTGGGAGACCTGGGTCTTCAATTCTTAAAAAACCTCATGGTTCCCTCAGTTCCGCCCTTCCACTCCTCCCCCCAAATTCTCTAATTTTCAGAATCAGAAATTGGGTTCTGTCATTTTGAGCCATTTAGGATTAACAGGGCTGAGAACAAATTTGGCTCCCTCATTCAAGGTTCTTCTGGGATTTGGCCATTGCAGGGTCTCATCAAACACCACTCAGTCCTCCATGGCCCCAGAAAGTCCTGTGTGAGTAAGGAGAGGAGAGCAGCTCACCCTTTGACCTGAGGCAAGTTGGGGTATTCATAGCTAAAGAACATTTACCTGTGTGGAACTCATGGCTCATACATAAATGCAAGTAATACTTGTTCGTTCTCTCTCTATATCTGTGGTTCTGCAACCAAAACATTCAGAGCAGGAGGACTGTGCATTCTTTTTTTATTTTTCTCTGAATGATACAGTATCTCTATTTACACTGCATCAGGTATTCTAAGACCTGTACATATGTTCTCTGCAAGTGTCATGATGCCATTTTATATAAGAAATTTCAGCATCTGTGAGTTTTGGTATCCTTGGAGAATGCCTATGGATATTGAAGTGTAGCCAAATATTTTTAGACTGAAAGAGATATTGAGCAGAGATTTTTGTACAAATGTGAGTGCTTTTGATCCAAAAGACATAATGGTGAGTGGCAAAAAATGTAGAATATAAAATTGGATGACTCATAGGGTCACAATCCGGTAGAGCATCTCCACAGTGGCATTTGATGCAGGAGTTTCCTTGAGATTTGGGATGGTGCTGCCCCTGCTCGGCCTCTAAATGTCAGTCATATGGCTTAGTCAGCTCACTGTCTCTTAGCCGGCTGGCTGACACTTTCAGAACTCTTCCTGGGGTGAGCTGTCAGTCTCAGAACCACTGGAAGAGGCAGGGAATATCCAAGCCAGGTCAAAGGAGAGGAGTGAGAGCATGAAGAGAACTCATGAGCTGGAGAGCCACCAGGGGATGGAGCAGCTGACACCAGTGAGAGCCTGGACCTTCACTCCTTGTCTCTCAGCATTCTCCCCCGATGGCTGTGCTGACCCAGACGTAGGGTTTGCCACATACCAGCAGCTGATGATGATCCAGAAAAGACGTAGCCAGAGAGCACTGCACCAGAGATTGCAGGTCAGACCTGTGAGTAACACCTAGAAAGAGAATTCAAATAGCTAAGGTCAATGCTCCTTGAGGTAAGGCTTTTTTTTTTTTTTTACTGTTATATACTGGTAAACTTGTTGGTACCTGTGAGATACACTATTGCTATATTCCACCTAGGTCAGGACTCACACTCCCACCCTCCATATTGCTATCTCTTGTTCACAAAGCAGCCAGAAGAACTGGTCTTGGAATATAAGTGGACCTTTCCAATAGTGCCATTGCACTTAGAATGAACTTGCAATTCCAGAGCCTTGCAATACCACAGCCAGCTCTGGGCCCTATTATGACTACAACTCATAATTTTTTCTGCCGCACTCCCTGCAGCTACACTGACCGTCTTCCTGATTCTTTCCACCAGTGCCCTTTCTTCTTGGCTCTCTTGAATGTCTTTCCTCCTAACTGTTCCATGTCTGCTGCTGTGAGCCAGAATGGGTACCCGTTGCAGGAAGCAGACTGGGGAGAAACTGGGTTTTTCTCCAGACTGAGTCTCATATGTAAATTCTCTCCCACAGCATTCCTGCCTCCACCCTTCCAGCTGCAGGAAGGGGAGGTGCGTCTCATAGATCAAGATCTGTGTGCATGGTTTTATGAACCTCCACCTAGCATCAAGGACCCCAATGCCTACATGGTGAAGGAGGACATGCTGTGTGCTGCAGAATTTGAAAAGCAGAGATCTGTCTGCAGAGTAAGTGAGGCCTTTCAGATTCTACCCTGAGCCTGGTCACTCCTCTGCTCATACAGTGACCATGTCCGCTCCCTCTGGGTCTTTTCTGTACTCTGCCACAGCCCCTTTTCTAAAATCTTCCCAAGCTCAACACACCCTAAAATGTCAGACCCCTATAGAACACCAGTATTTTTCTCATCCATTTTCTTTGTATCTTTTTAAAAAGGTCGAAGTGTAGCATGCAAGGAAAAGGACTTACTTTGTACTATTTGAGGAAATTTTAGAGTTCAGTATATTTATGCATCCTACAACCAAAGGCCATAGTTATGTAATACTGAGTATGATAAATCAAGTATTATAATCCCTTTTCCTGTCTTCCGCAGAATCCAAAAAGCTATATTTATAATCCTATTGAGACATTGTTGGAATCATGACAAGTTAACTCCAGTCTACCACCTCCAATTTAAATCATGGCAAGAGTAAAGACATCCAGACACGTTCAAAGTTAAGAGCAGCCAAGGGGTCCTAATTCCAATCCCCATGAGGATATGCAGACAAAAGTCCTAATCCAAGGCCTGTCCCAGAATTTATCTTGTGAAGAAGGTGGGGGGTGGGGGGTTTGAGGATCCATAGTGATAATGGCAAGCAACTATGTGAGTAATGAGCTGGCAAGCTAGGTAGGGAGAAAAGCATCTTTGCAAAATGTAGGGAGAATGACAAGCAGAAGGATCAATCTGCATAATTCAACAAAGGTAACAACTGAATTGTTTTTGGAGGCTGTTGCTTCAGTTTCTGATATGTAAACTTTTGGGCCCAGGGGAACTTTACATAGAGGTTCATATCAGCATACATGTCTGGAGCTGAATGGCGCTGTGATCTTGCTGTGCCAGATCTTTTACAGAGAGCACTATGCAAGGAAACAGGAGACTGACTGTCTGATGGCTTTAGAGATCACAAACCAGTACCTGGCTAGCCTTATCTGCAATGCTTAGAGTCAACTGAAGTCAGAAGGAAATATAATCAATGTTGCAGCAATGGTTCTGCATTGGAGGGAAGTCACTCAAATTGTCTCCTACAATACTTACGCCTCTGTCTTGTCACTATTCTCCCCTACTATCCTATATTAGCTACTAAAGCACAGCGCATTTGTACTGGGACTTAATATCAATACAAATCATGTCTCTTTTCAGTCAGCACTGTTTGAGGCATTTGGCTACTCACTATGTGAGTATAGCATAGTTGTACCTATCTGTTCTTGCATTGGTAGCATTTTGGGCAGCATGCCTGTGTCTGCACATACCCTTTCTTGCTTCATTGCTTCTCACCCTTCCTCAGCTCACCCTACCTGGCTTTGGTGCACATCCTACATTAGGTGCTACATGCAGCCTAGATAAGGCTCTGCTCCCTTTGCTTTTTTTTTTTTTTTGACCACCAAAGCCTGCTCCACACTCACCCTACTGCTTTTCCCTTATGTTTTTCTTTTTCTACCAGGGATCAAACTCATGACATCACGATTGCCAGGTAGTCATTTACACAACTGAGCTAAACCCCTGGTCCTTACATTTGAAACACAGATACAAAGAAGGGATCAGTCAGTGAAAACCCTGCATGCTGAGCATTTCCTGTTAATAGTATAGTCATTGCTATGCCTTTGACAGGGTGATCTGAACAGCCTGGCGTCTGCAGCTGGCCATACCCAGAAGCCCTAGAACAGCCTTGCTAAATGTGTTCCAGACCCTCTTGCCTCCTGCTGAGGGTCTCACTGTCCAGCCCATGATTGCCACATCCAGGCCTCACTCCTTCCAGTCTTGCCCCAGAGAAGCTCTCTGATGGCCCAGTTGGTGCTGTCCCTCTGGAGCTCTTCTTGTCCTCTCTGCTGCCTGCTTTGCACATATCCTGTATGCAGGTAGGCGCAATGCTCTTGAATACCACCTGTGAACAGAGCTAGCTGTTAGCTATCTGTTATCTACCATGGTATCTAACAAGTAGCTGGAGGGTACTAGGCTCCCCTGAGTGTGATTTCTTGGCCTGTGAGTTGAGGGCATTCTCCCCATGAAGGCTGGGCTCTTTCTGCCTGTGGGACTCTGCTGCACAGGCAATTGCCACAGTATTTCCAGAGCCCTCCATGACCCAGGCAGCAGCTCTTTTCCCCTCAGCCCATTGGATAGCTTTGCCTGTTCTCCCCCACTCCCCTGTCCCTGTCAGATTTGCATTTTCTAATTAAAATCAGCCAAGGAACTCAGAACATTGGAGAACTTATTAAGTCACGTACAAAGACACATGCAGGATGCTGCAGTGGGCTCGGGGTGAAGCCAAAGGCCCCAGGCTAGCCACTTTGCTGCCTTGTAGGACTTCAGAGGCCCCTTCTCTCATGTGAGTGGGAGGGCAGAGTGCAGATGTCAGACTCCCAGAGTCCCTTTGTTTATTGTCATACACCTGTGACTACCAACTCAGGTGATACTCAGGATCCCCTTGTGAGGTTTGTAGGATGGGAGTCTGGGTCCTTGCTCTGAAGATACTCATCCAGGAGTTGTCACGCCCCTGGAGTCTGGACTTCTAAATCATCCAGGTTACCTTGATGAGCACCACACACTTTGACGCAGGCAAGCCCTGGGGCCCAGTTTGTCTGCTCTACTCTGGGCAATGTGTGTTCCTCCCTATCTCGGTTCTACCATCCATGTCCTCTTTCTCCTCAGGGAGACTCCGGGGGTCCCCTTGTCTGCCCAGTACAAGGAGTCTGGTATCTGGTAGGGGTGGCCAGTTGGAGCACAGAGTGTTTGAAGCCTGTGGGCCCAAGCGTCTTTGCCAAGGTCTCCTACTTTTCCCAGTGGATTCAGGAGAAGAAGAGTGCCAATCCTGATCCTGACATTGTCTTGGCCCCTACTACAGAAAAGACTCCAGCCCTGACTACAGAAAAGACTCCAGGCCTGACTGCCTTTAATCCTCAGGACACTGTCAAACCTCAGGTTTTCATGGTCCTGCTGTCTTCTCAGATCTTCCTGCTGCAGCTCATTTTGCTGAGGAACAGGTGATGGACCCACAGCATCCCAATGTCTAGGCTTTGCCCACAAGTGTCCTGGCTGAGCTCTGCACTACCTTTCTTTGCTTCTCCCCTTGGGCTTGCCTGTCCATCTGAGGCCAACTGTGTTCCAGGACTGACAAAATAAAAGCAAACAAAGGGAGATCTGGCTCTTATTTCTCACACATCATTGCTGTACCTCATGCCCTGCTGGGCACTGAGCTGCCTGGTATGAACCAGTGTCGTCCTTCTTTCCCTGGGCAGAGACACTCAGGGGACTACACTGGCCATGTGGGAGCTTTGTGGCGCAACTTGGGCAGTTGAATCCCACAAATTGAGTCTCCTGTCAGGCCCTAAAGGGCATGTGTTCTTTCAGAATAATGAGCCAAAATACTGGGTCTGGGATGTAACCCTGTGGAGGAGCACTGTGTGCTTCCACAGTGGGCACGAAGAATCCCGGGGCTCACAGAAGCTCTTGTGGAAAAGCTGCAGTGATAGACAGCAAAGGAGCCTGAGGTTCAAGAACTTTCTTTTAATATGTGAACTAGCTTGAATAATTTGTCAAACACAGCCAGGTACCTGAACTGGGCATAAAAAGGAAGGAATTTGGACTCGAGAAATTAACCAGTTAGTGAGAGGATCCTGGAGAAACTGGAGGTAGTCTTGCGGTAGTTGTACCTGGGGTAAAGGGTAGAACAGGGAGCAGACAGTTTTGAGAAGACCATTGACCTACCAAGTCTTCTCTTGGTCCCCCATGGTTTTAATCAAGGTCCATCACCATTGCTCAGGTGCCAGGACTGCAGAGCAAGTGTCATGAGTGCTCCCCCAGCCACCCATGAGCCATTGTGTCCCCAAATCTGGTTGTGGCTTAGAAACACAATGTCCCAAAATGGCTCAGGTGTTCAGAGGTGGGGCTTTCAGAAGGTGACTGGGTAATGGGGCTGGTGTGAGTGACTTGTTAGTAAGCAGTGGGCCTGATTGGTGGGCGTGTGACCTGGAGGGTACAGTCCCATTCCCTGCTCCCCCTTTTATTCCCCTCTTCCCAGCAGTCATGGGATGAGCAGCTTTCCTCTGACCTGGCCCTTCTACTGTGCTGTACCCTGGAGCCAGCTGACCAGGGACTGTGCAAAGAGCCAAGGTAACCCTCTCCCCTTTGAGTTGGGGTGTTGGGTCACTGTTCCTGCAAGGCCAAGAAAACAGAATGCTCCCTGGGATGGCAGATGCCTCCTCCTGTGATTTTATGCCTGGTTCAAACATTTTCAAGCTTTGGCATGAATAGCCTCAACAAGTTTTTTGTGTACACCCTGGGCTTCATGGATGCTGGGCACGCTAACCACTGAGTGGAACTTCAGCCCTTTTTCCAAGGCTTTAAGTTGAACCCCTGGATGTAGAAGCCACCTGAGGGCTGGGGTGCAAAGTAGAGGAAGTATGCTGCCGGGCCTGCTGAGTTCCTCAGAAGTTTAATCTCCCACACATACTTCCTCACTGAGCAAGAGCCAAGCTACCAGTCCTGGGGAAGATGCACTCGTGCCAGTCCACGACCCACCTCAGAAAGGGGTCTTCACATGAAAAATAGAACAGACACTGTATGCTATCTGAGCAACAATTACTGAAATAGATAGGTAATGTAATTTTGACAATCACAATAAATTACTCATATAGAAAAACATTACTAGCAGTAAGACAGGAGACCAAAAAAATTCAAAAGAAAATACTTTATGTGAAAAATATAGGGCACAGCAGTGAGGAAGCACCCTGGCTGGGCATGAGAGGCTTGGGGCAGCACAAATAGGCTAGAGCTCCAGTAAGAGGTGGCAGTGAGCTAGCACCTCATATGGGTGTGGCCTCAGCAGCTAGGGACCAGTGGAGCAGGAGGGGGAGAAAGGGGAAGCAGAGGAGAGGCCAAAGCGGAGGGGAGAAGGAGAGAAGAGGGGGATGAGGAGGGGAACAGAGGTTTCCATTCCCATCAAGGCTACCGTTTCGGTGACTTAAAATTTATCCCACCACACTATTCTCATTTGTAGAGATGAATACACAGATCTGGCAGAGGAAGGAAATTAAGCAGAGACAAAATTACACTGCCAAGTACCGTGGATTACTCATCAGTTCCTAAGCAGGCAGCTGTGAGAGTGAAGTCCTGGGAAGAAGCCGCCCCACAGGTGTACAGATCGAAGCAGGAAATGGAAATGCTGCCACACATCAGAGTGCTCTGCAATAGCTGCTCCTTCCACAGACACTTAGAATACTGTTCCTGTTCTTAGATTTCAGGTAGTAGCATAGGTTTCTGCAGGAGATTAGCAGATACAAATGATACGTCTTTTTTTCATCAGTCTTCTGAATTAGGTGACTTGAATTCCTGGCAAGAAAATACCAGTGCCAATGCATGGAAAGAGAAGATGCGGCCCGGCACTCAGGAAGTTCTGAGGCAATAGAAAACAGCAGGCAGAGAGAACAGAGCAGCAGACCACAAAGGAAGGAAATGGAAAATGAAGAAGGAGCAAAACGAAACAAGTGTGAAACTTTCATAACAAGTGTACTTCAGATGTCACAGTGCCACGAGGAGAAAGCTGAGCACCACAATCCACACAACATTTGCTGGATTTAAGACTTTTTTCAGGATACGAACATGTTGCTTGATTTGAATGCATTCATCAGGCTATCCTAAAAACAAGGCGTCTAATAAAGTGACTGAGACTCAATGCAACAGAAATCAGTCCTTCCAGATTTAAAGACTCAGTCCAAAAAAGGGCATCTGAGATGAATACACACTTCTGAGATGAGGAAATACAAATGCAAATAAACATGTGAAAAAGTGTTCAACATCACTGGTCATTTAAGAGATGCAAATTAAAACAACACTGAGATTCCACCTCACAGAAAAAATGACTACTGTCCAGAAATAAAGCAATAACAAATGCTGAAGGGCTTTGGGGAAAAGGGACCCTTCTCTGCTGTTGGTGGGAGTGTAGATGTACAATGACTGGAAATCAGTGTGGAGAGTCCTCAAAACCCCAGGATTAAAGATTCCATTTTAACCAGCTGTTGCTCTTCTAGGTATCTTCCCAAAAGAATTAAAAACATCATGCCACAGTGATATGTGTGCACCCATGTTTATAGCAGCATGATTTGTAATAGCTACATCTTGGAAAAAACCTAATACCCATTGGCTGAGAAATTAATAAAAATATATGATATTTTAATACAGTGAGTATTATTCAGCCATAAATGATAACTGGAGACTTTTATAGATAAATGAATCCAACTTGAGACCATCCTCATAAGTGAAATAAATCAGACACATGTGTAAATATATTGTCTCACTAGTGTGAGGTCAAAGAAGCAACAGGCATCTATATATATGACTGACTACTCTGAGTTCATTGAAGAGAAACATTTGTACCAGTATTGCTCAGACCAATGAAGGCAGATGTCTTTTGCTCTGTGTGAATGATCTGAAGATGACAGTGCACAATGTGTGTACCATTGTTGCTACCTGATTGACGTGTTTTCAAATTTTGTTTTCCTTTTCTCTTTTTGCTCTTTGAAATAAAGTGGACTAAAAGTAATTTAGCTATCATAAATTGCACTGCTCTAAATATGGGTTTTCATGTATCACTGTAAAAAGGTGACTTTAACTCTTTACAGAAGGTACACAGAAGTACTGCAGGCTCAAATGTAATTTTTAGTTTTAAATTAATGATATCCACATTGATGACTGGTTTTAGTTCCTAGCAAAAGTTTAGTAGACTTCCTTTTTCCTCACATTCTCACCAATATTTGTCATATTTTCAATCTTTTATGATAGCCTTTCTTAGTGGAATAAGATGGAACATGAATTTCTCGTTTGTTTGTTTGATTTGATGTATATTTCCCTAATGAAAAAAAAAATACTGGGCATTTGTCAATGCATTTTTTGGCCTTTTGTACTTTTTCTTTTGAGAAGTGTATATTCACTTCAATTGCCCATTTTTTGATTGGGTTTCTTTTCTTTTTTGTGTGTGTCTAATTTTTCTGAGCTATGCATATATTCAAGATAATAGTCCTCTATCAGAAGAGTAGCTGGCAAAATTTCTGACCACTTTGTGGTTGTCTTTTCACTCTGTTGGTTATTTTCTTTGGTGTATAGAAGCTTTAGTTTGGTATAAACCAATTTTTTGATTCCTGGAATCATTCATCGTTTAATTCGGGTTTTCTTCAGAAAGCCCTTACTTTTGCCTGTGTCTTACACTGTTTTACTTGGTTTTGTCTCTCAGCAGATTTGGTGTTTCTCTTTGTAGATCTAGGCCTTGGATCCATTTTGATCTATGTTGGGAGCCGCAGCCCCGAGCCCGGTCGCCTCACTTGGCGGACGTGAGGCCTGTAGTAAAGAGTAAAGCCTGAGGTAGATTACCCCTCCCATCGAGCACGTTAGTTTCCTGCTTACCGCGTAAGCAACCCGCTCAACAATATAGTCTGCCTGGCAACTGATGATGTTAGCCAATCAGCTTGCCTTGCTCACTTTAACATGATTGGACACTGTATCCGTATATATACTGGTGCCACCCCTGGGGGGGAAGAAGAAGCCCGGAAGTAGAAGCCCAGAAGGAGCCGCGGGGAGCGGACCAAAGGAGGCTTCGGCTGGGAGCGATCCCAGGGCAGGCTGTACGGAGAAGGAAAATAAAAGAAAAGGTTGTCCACTGCCAGACTTTGTCATGTGTCCTTCCTGCCGGCCGGGAGCGACATCGACATTTGGTGGCCCGTACGGGGACTGATCACCCCCGAGACGTGACAGCGGACAACGCTCCAGTACAGAGCTGCGAGACAGGTGAGTTGGGGATAAGCCTGGGCTCTGGGTGGCGCGCACCTACAGGGCTTTTAGACTCCCCTCAGGCTCACGCGTAAGTGGCGGATTCCTTGGGCCTCACGCGGTGAGTAACATATTAAAAAATGGGAAACATGCTAGGTAGTAACATTAAGAGCGAGGGTGGTTGTGGAGAAAGCTCTCAAGAGCTTACAAAAGTACGCAGGGTATTTGAGCAGGCCCAGTCAGGGAGCTCCCGAGAGGGGCCCGTCAAGGGGAACAAAGATGCTAAGGAGAAGGACGGGGCTCTAGCCTCGGAGTCGTCTGACTCCGAGGACGAGGGAAAGTTGAATGGCAAGGAGGCCAAAGAGACCAGCTGTCAGGAGCCTAAGTCGCTCGATAAGGAGTCGCAGGGTTCTTTCCCAGCGTTGCGCCGTGAATTGCGCTCCGCTCAACTTGGTCTGCGGAGGAGTAGAGAGCTCCTGAGCGCTCCCCGGCGCGAGAGGGAGGGGAAGCCTTCTGCCCCACCTTGGGGGCTGTTCCCGGAAGCGATCCCTCGCCACGAGGCGGCCGCCCGGGAGCTCCCTTCCCCTTCGCCAGAACAGGAAGTGATGCACGGGCCCCCATTTTCCGCCCAATCACGGCCGCCGTCTTATGCTCTGCCGCCGGCGGGTCGGTATTTTTACAGGCAGCTTTGGCAGGGGGGACGTTTGTCTCATGAGGTACATCCACCACCTGGAATAGATAGTGGCCCCTACGGGATATTTCCTGTACAAGTAGCTATGGGCCAGGGACGTAATGCATGGGAGCCTTTTGAGATAAAGCAGATTAGAGAACTTAAAAATGCAGTTACAACCTTTGGGCCAACTGCGCCTTACACCATTGCCATGCTGGAGAACCTGTCTTCTGGGCCCCTCACCCCCGCGGACTGGATTCAGCTGGCAAAGGCGTGTCTGCCCTCGGGTAGTTACCTGGATTGGCGAGCCTGGTACGCAGAGTTCTCTGCAGAGCAGGCTGAGAGAAACGCCAATCAGGGAAACCGGGGGTGGAACAAGGAAATGCTTATGGGAGAAGGTCGGCACGCTGATGATCAGACTCAGTTCCCCGGCGCTGTCTATGAACAAATCAATGCCATAGGGCTCCGCGCCTGGAAGCAGGTAAGTGGTGCCGGAACAGCCTCCTTGTGTCTTTCAAAAATAATTCAGGGTA